AAAATACTTCGTTCTCATTCTCTACATATGTTTGTTTAATCACAACATTATATAATTGTTGGATTTCCTCCTCCTCCTCCTGGTCCTACAAACAAACGTAAAATACACCTTAATGTTTGTCAGGCTTCGCTCAAGCAATCAAATTAAGATTTTAGTCAACCTCGAATTCCACTATTTAACTTTTTTTTCACAGCAAATCCTTCGAGACTCTTCTTCGAGATGAGCTCCTCTCCCTTTCTAGGAGCATTCGACGATGACGACGACGAGAAAACTTGCTCCTATAGTAATAGGGCTCTCAATTAGGAAGTAAGAAGGAGTAGGCGCGTGAATAGGTCACCGCGTCTATCGACGTGGCGAGTACAATGAGGTAATACTGTGTCCTCCATGGCAGAAGAACTCGCCACGTTAAATGGATTTTTTTGTTGCTATCATTATTTTATTAGACATCTTTGCATGTGATATAATATGAAATGTAATAAGCTTGAAATAACGTATAAAATACCATGAAAAATATATTTTTTCTTTGGAGGTTCTGCAAATAAACTTTTGAATAATTACAGATAGTTCTGATTTTAGATCTTATATGTAGAATGATTCCTCTTTTAAAATATAGATTTTAAGAATTTTCCTTTTTTCTTTCTCTCTCTCTCTTTCTCTATATATATATTTTTTATTTTTTTAATTTATTTTTTGCAGTAATGACCACTAGTCATTGTCATCTTCAATGAATTCTATCTTCACACTTACACCTTCAAATCATGTGATTTTTTGATATCTTCTCATTGCAAAACATTAATGAAGAAGAGCTGTTCAACTTTATGTCTTTTCTTTCTTTCTTTATTATTTATTTAAGAACCACACTTCTTGGGTTTCATCAAAAAAGACTTTTATCTCTTATGGTATCATATACATTCTTTGAGGACAAATGTACAGGACTCACCTCCTTAAACTTAAATGAATACATTTACAATTTACGTTTTAAATATTTCAACTATCAACTTTGTAATGTAGCCAAAATCTTCTTAATTTACATCTTTATCAATTAATTTTTTATTATTATTTTTTTTGTAAAATTTTAACAATTTTTTTTTCTAAAAAAATATTATTTTCAGCTGATTTAATAATTACCATAGAACACTTCTTTGGTTTAGTTTTAAGTTGGACCTGCCTACTTTGAGACTTTTTCAAACACCCATATTATTTAATGATCTCCTACTTAAGTTTTATTTGTATTGATCCTACCTTAATGCTTAGTTTGATTAATTATTCCATTACCTTATTTTAGTTGCAAACTTAAGGTTTTACTTATTTCTTTTCTAATAATTGACTCAATTGATAAAAAATATGTTGACACTCTTCCTAATTTGAATAAATTTTACTCCTTCAAGATATAACTCTTATGTTTTGACTTATTTTTGCTTGCATGTTGTGCAATTTATACGTTTCAAAATTAATATATAATTGAAAGAATAATACAACTGTTGAGTATTGTTAAGTTCTAAATATTTCATAGTCATATTAGGAATTTTAACAGGATTTTTTTTTGCAATTAGCCTTAAGCAAACTACCCAATACTCTTATGAAATTATGATCTAACGTATGGAAGATGAAAATTTAATGAATTTAAGGATATTATCATGTTGTAATTCTTCAAATATACTTGTGAATGGTTCTTTATATAAATAAACTTTAATAATTTAGAAGTAGTATTAGTAATGATTGTAACATTTTAGTCACCAAATGACATGACCATAATAATATAAAGACCTAAAAATACTTTAAAAAAACACTAATAAAATCAAATCAATAGAAAATTAAATCAGTAGTTCTATTAATATTAAATAGAATAATAATTTAATTTTCTCTGATCTTTATTAAAAAAAATTCATTTCTATTTAATCTTTCAAAATAATTAGCTTCATGTAGAAGAGATAATTGCATTAAAACTAAAAAAGATGTTTTTAAAATTATTTGTTTAAGATTCGAATATCAATTATATATTTTAAGATTAATGCATAGTATTGGTTTATTGTTTTGACAACTAGTTTTTATTTATTTGATTTATTCATGAGTAAAAGTTGTATATGTTGTAAAGTTCATAATAATTAGTTATAAATGAAAGTAAATACTACTAATATAATATAAATAAATGAATTAAAAATAATTTAAACATATATTTTTATGCATTATATATATATATATATATAGAGAGAGAGAGAGAGAGAGAGAGAGAGAGATGTTAAAATGATCCACCCATTTACTAAATCAACCCATCCTATTGTGGAGAATAAGAGGGGTCAAGGTGAGACTTAGAAACATGGAGATCACAATAATAAAAGCTAGAAATGGACAGAGCACTGGCTAGAAATAAAGGGAGGTGAGGATAAGGGTCATGATTGTAATGATGGTTTTTCGAAGGTGATCTATTTTCTAATAATGGTTACAATAGGATGGATAAATTTAGTAAATAGATAGATTATTTTAATATAAATATGTATATATATATATAATTCTAATTGAAATATGATATTGTAGATATATAAGTATTAATAAATATTAAATTATTTATATATTACATATAAAAAAAGAAATATTATTTCAAATTTTAATTTTAATTTTTTATTATTATTATACCAAATTAAGTAAAAGTAAAAGTAGGATGGAGCAAAAAAGAAAAAAAAAAAAGAAGTATTATAAGCTCTAAGTTGAAAGAAATTGTATATAAGCAATTTTATTTGTAAGTTTTATAAAATAATATAAAATACTATTATTTTTATGTAGAATATTATCAAGATCTTTGAACATATCTATTATAACATGACAAATTTTTTACATTTTCCAATGTATCATATAAAAATAAATGATTTTAAAAGAATGTATGTAAAAAAAGTACATCATTAAGATTTAAATATTATAATAAAATTTTCTACTTGTTAAAAATACTATTATTAAATTTGATAGAATGGATCTAATGATATAATTTTTGAATGCTTTTCATATTGTTCATTTATTTATGAATATGCAAAAATAAGTATTTCATTATTATAATTTAATATTATTATCTCTACTTGTTTATTAGTTTAAACTTATTAAACAATAAGAAGTTAATAATATTTGAAAAAAAAATTGATAATCATTTATTAGTATAATTACTTTAAGGATTTATTTTAAGGTTCTTTTAAGAAAAAAAACAACCAAAAAAAATCTCAATTATTTTCATTATTCTTTGAATTATGACAATAGTTGGTAGAAATTGGGAATAATTGCAAGGATTTATAGGCTAAAATCTAACCTTATTGATACCTTTTTGTACATACATATATACATACACACTAGAAAGAGGACCAATTCACCAAACTTAATGATTGTTGAGTAGAGTTTCTTAATCATAGATAGACCACAACATCATAATATCATCACAAATATTTTGGAAATTTGACATGGGGTTAACTACTTTTTTTTTGAAATATTGTTCATGTTTTTCACCAAGTACTCAAATTCTTTTTGGTCATACTCTTGCCAAACATTACAAAAAATGTAATTAATTTGCATATTGATTGATAAATACTTAAAACAATCATGAATGAGAATGTTGTTGTAGAAATTTAACCAATCACACAGCAATCAGAATTCAGTCAACTAGGGGATTGATTGAAATTAATAGACACTATTTTATTAGCAGGAATTCACTCAATTACGGAATTTCATTAACAGATACCAATTTTCTAATACAAAAAAGATACATGTAACACTTCATGTGATAATCAAAAGGCATAATTTGTGGTACAATTTCCAATGCAATCCAATAAAGAAACTTCCACAGGCTATTTATTCAAAATTATTATTCTGGAGCAGGTCTTTACTAACTAGTTTCATGAATTCACTTTTTGTCACATATTTTAGCAGTGGTCGATCACCTTTCACAGTAGACATGGAAATCCCTTTTCCCCAAAGACAGACCCACAGTTTCTAAGGCTCATGGAGATGATGTTCAGAATCAAGGGAACAGTCTAAGCATTGCTGTATGCATGCTGCAAGGAAGCCATAAAATGAAAGAAAGAGCAAAAAACATGTGCACCATGCTCCCAACGCAAGCAGGAAACCTTAGTTTTAAACGCCATATCGTGGCAGTGAAATTCACCACATGGGCTCAGAGAGCTGTGGCAGCAAGCGAGAGGACAGACAGGGGAAGGACCCACTCCCAGTGCACACACATGAAGAGGAGTATCGAAAAGCTCCCACTCGACATGCAAAAATTAAAAAAACAAAAACAGAAGATAAAGTAAGTGGCTCTTCATTCACTCACACACACATCGCGGTCTCATCGTACACATCTCTTCGACGAAGAAGACTGTGTTCGTTCTCCCCCTCTGCGGCACGTCCATTCCGTGCCACCGAATCCTACCATGGAAGCGTGAAGAAATCAAGCTTTTACTGCGTGAGATTGCACGCACAAATGGCCCCAACACTGAGTTTGGAGCCTCTCGTGCGCAGATACAGCACCTCGAATGAGTGGGGAATCAAAGCCAACCCTGACAACATTATCAGTTATGTATGTGGAAAAAGCAACGGGAGTGCTCCAGCTTGCAGTTTGACAGATTCAAATCCCCCGTGTCTGGTCCAACTTCTTTCTTGTATTCTTTCAAAAAAGGACGGTAATCATCGACGGGATTCCAGATCAACTCCCCTGAGAAACACAAATCCAGGTAGTCTATTTCTGTTTATGTTGACAGCCAATCCCATGCCGACGCGAATTTTGGCAAAAAACGAACCAGAATTACAGATTTCAAAACCACGTTGAAAACGACAGAGGTGCGTCGCGAAGCTGACAGCATTCGATGCACAGGAGCGAGAGCCCCTTTCGCCAATGATTTAATCCTCTAGATGGATGTTAGATGTCTGAAATTATTGGATCCCATGGACCGCGATTCAGAAGAACTGTACAAAGCCTGTGTAATACTTTTCTCCATATTCTCGTTGTTCTGTCTCCAGAATGTAGGGGCAGACCTGATACTCTACTAAACTTGATGTGTACTGCCTAAGTAGACACGGGATCCTGCTGTTGTTTTTTCCTCCAGCGGGAGATTTTCTGCAGATCTAGGAAAAGAGTAGATAGATACGGGGCGTGCTTGCTCGATTCAGTTGTGTTGTGCCTCCTGAGATATGGCGTAACTCTTCGCGAGAGTAGGACCTTGCTGTCAGCAGTATTGGATGCGCTTTCTAAGCGTTGGAGACTTTTTTTGCAGATGAGTTTCAGTGTATTTATGAGGTGTTTGTTTTTTTACCGGTTCTTGAACTGTTATATTGTTTTATCGTTTGGCTTGATTTGGAGCTTATTCCGAAGAGCTTCGAGACGGCCAGGGAGGAGAAACGAATGAGACCAGGTAGGGGTGCAGGTGTGTTGCTTGATTTTACTTGTCATGTGGATGCACTGCGTGAGGCGATCGATGGTAGATTTAGGATGCAGAATTTCGGTGTAGAAGAGAAGTGTGTTGCGGGTTGAGAGTGTATACATGGAATGATCAGATATTAAGTGCGATTGGCTCAGTTTTTTTTTCACGACAAATGGATTAGTCAGGTATTAAGTGTGATTAGCTGGATGAAACTTAGGCACCGTGCTGTTGCCGTCATAAGTGCATGCGGAGAAGCTTTTCTTTTTTCTTCGAAGCTTGATTCTCTTTTCTTTTCCTTCAAGGGGATTGCATTCTGATTGTGAAAGTCCTCTGGTCTGCAGTAAACTTCACTCTGGCACTAAGCTGAGCTTTAGGCTCCCTTTTCTCAATGAATCCCGAAGAACTGGTCTTCAGAGAATCTGTAAATTGCTACGTTCATAGAAAATGACGAGCGGAGGGGAAAAGAAATAGTTCCATTTCTCTATTTCAAGCACATAAATGAAGAGAACAGAAAATTCTTGCTTCTTGTCCTTATCATACTGAATTATCAGGCCGTATCACGAGAGGTGTTCGCTGTAGAGTGAAGGTATACCTCACAGGTGCTACGCTGGCAGAAAAATAATTTGACAATCTGCATTCTGTCCACCTTCTGTGGCATTTAATGAGGAGGACCAATCATTCAAATGGGACTTGGTTCATGTGCATCGCTGCTGTAAGTATGAGCTATCTAAGAGCACGAGATTATCCACTACTAGCTTTGCATCCTCGCTGATTACAAGAGCCTGTAGATCTTGATAATTGTTGAAACGAAGAATACACCGGTTCTAGGATTATTCTTTCATTTAATAAATAGAAATCGTCTTGAGAGTGCAATGCCCCAATTTTCGTTTCAGCCGATATCTCCTGAGTTTGGCTAGGGTAGACAAACCAAAATAACAGAGAAACGTGGGGAATCTCGATCTGCAGCAGGGAATGCACAATAGAGAACGGGTTATGGGATGAGAGGTTGATTCTTAAAGCTACAGAAGCAGACGAATCATGGCAGTTGATCCGGCCGAAGCGATTGATTGGGAGGTAAGAACCTTGATATTTGTGTTCTTTGCGACATTCCGTTGTTTCCCCTGTAACGTGTATTGAGTGCATTTCAGACCGTAGTCCGCAAAAGGCATTAAAAGAATTGCTGCATTCTATTGATTATGACTTCCAATTGCTTTCCTGTCTCTAAACAATGCATCTCCCATAGTTGTCAGCCTGGATCAGCAGCTTGTTGGCAAATGCACTTAAGAGTGGCACTTCGTAACGTGTTATTTGAATTTAGAAAATAGGTTCTTGAATTAGAAAATTTGCATTCATCTCCTCAGTCCCCTATATTAATCCAGTTTTACATTTATTTACAAAGACCTTATTTTCCTCATAGAGAATATCCTGTTGTCTAAATCGTGTCTTGACAACGATTACAGTCAATACCAGGCTTCTTAAGAACCTTCAAGATTTAAATCCTTTAGGTGTTGATGTTTCTCGTGTACAGGTAGTGAAGGTGCAACTTGAGAGCATAGGTGATGCCTGGAAACAACCACGATTTGATTCGCTACCCCACGTTGTGGAGGTCATCACATCTCCAAATATTGAAGCGTCAGTGGCGCAATTGAGAGAGACTAGAGACGCTATTGAGGAAATCGTTGATAGTGTGGTCAGAATCTATCACAGTGGCTTTAACAAAGCTATACACAATTACTCTCAGGTATGTCGCCTGTAAACTCCGACAGCTGGATCTTAATCTTGAGGCTTTGACCTTCTACCGCGTTTGCTAACATTCGCTCAACTAGTGAATTTAGAAAGACACAAATTTCCTGTCTACAGAGGCTTCTTGGTGAATAATGGATAGTTTAAGGCCACTTACGCTGCACTCCGTCTCTCGTGCCAAAATTGACTTCCCCTTTACAGTTTGCTAGTATTCGGGTTTCCTTCTCTGTTACTGAAGTTCTCGACCTTGATAATGTATGGTCTTTGGAATTTAGATATTGCGATTGTTCAACGAATCCGCTGAGGGATTAGAGGGCTTGAAAGAAGGATTGGCAGAGGCTCGGAATTTGCTAGGAGCTCGCCACAAGCAACTCCAGCGACAATGGTCCCGTTCAGTTACTCTTCGCCATGTCATCAACTTGCTTGATCAAATCGACAACGTCGCTCAGGTTTTTCCCTTTACAGTCAAAAGTAGCTGTTCGCTTCACATTTGTACAAAAGACTGGTTCACCCTTGACAGTACCTCTTCGAATATAGCTCAGGCTTAGAGCAGTTATTAAGTGTCTGAGAACTGTTAAACGATAAATTCGGGGATGTTCATAGGGACGTAGAATGATTCATTTTCTGTTTTGTGCGGATGTAGGATGTGACCATTTGACAGCTGAAATTAAGAAGGGATATGATCTAAGGCTGCATGATTGAGGTGGGGCAGGTACCAGCTCGGATTGTGAAATTAGTAGCAGAGAAGCGTTACTATGCAGCTGTGCAACTTCATCTCCAATCCATTAAGATTCTAGATCGCGAAGGTATTCAGTCGGTAAGCATTGTTACCAGATGACTGCTCGCGTGCAGTCACGAAATGTGATAATGGCTCTGTTTATGCGCACAATTAGAAAGTGTGTTGCTTCAATATTTAAGAAATCATGGAGCTTTATGATGATGTTGTCTGATTGAATGAAGCATAAGCAACAAGGGCGATGAGAGTAAAAAAACGCTATTCCTGTCGTTTCCGATCAATGTGTTTAGGTTACTTGTAATCCGATTCTCTGGAAAATTTAGAGCAATACTGAAATCTATTATGCTCCTTGTTTGGATTGATAGGACAGTTTGGAAACAGAACTGTATGTGAACGGCGAGGGGTATACTAGATTATGTCAGCTCAAAACCAAACACTCATTTCGTATCGTTGCTGTGGCCTGACATGCTCAGAGAATTATAAGAACCTCATTGCGTCTTGATAAGGCCAAGCGTTGGTGATTTAGTCGTAGTCTGTGTGAATTTGCAGTGATCACAGCTTATTTCGGGCTTTGCGGCAAAAGTGACAGTGATAATCAAATTTACCTCTTGTCTTAAGTGTTCCAGGTTGGGGCACTTCAAGATGTCCGTGCGGAATTATCAAAACTTCGAGGAGTATTGTTTCACGAAGTTGTTGAGGATTTGCACCTTCATCTCTACAACAAAGGCGATTACAGGTATTTCTCTAAGCTCACGACGTTTCTTCCTAGTAACTAAGCAGTCGAGGTTTTCATGGCGGAAATTACTAGACTTCTCTTGCAGCTTTGCCACATAAATCAGACAGACCTGGAAAATCGTGCCATCACTTATACGGTTTGTTGTAAATATGCCTTTATTATTGTTTTCCGCAGACCGACTGCTCGCAGACTCTATCCTTCTTCTAGAGGATTGAGGGAAAATACCTGAACTACTTTGCATAGCGCAATGAGTTGAGTTATGTGGACCATTAGATTGCATTAGCTATTGGTTCTGGTGCGAGTTGTAAATTTCCTTGCTTTAATACATTTCTCGAGCTCCGACCTACCTCTATTTGTCAGCTCCGATGTTTTGCAAAGTTATGCGGTTCTTGCAAATACTCTCATTGTTCTTTTCTGTTGTTTGTGAGAAACAGCATGAATTTGGCAGTTACACATGAAAAAGATGATGACATTAGTAGCATCGTTCCAGCTGTGGTTCCTGCTGTTGGCTCTCTACACCCCGTTTCTAGGCGTACTCGAAGCTTGACTCGTTATTCATCCTCAATTTCAAGTTTGGATCGGCATCCATCAAGTATAGGCAGGTGGGTCTTTATCAATTGAATCTTAGATTTTATTTGTCCCTTTTGGCAGCACGAGTGAGGTTACGCTCTACAGGTTTTTTGTTCTCAAAGGTCTATCATTCTAACTATTGTTCTCCGCTGCTGAACTTGGAGTTGTTTATAGCCAGTCCGCGGAAAATGAAATTGCAAATGGATTGGAGAATGCAGATGCTTCAACTAATGATATAAGAGCATCGAGTAACAGTAGCGACGATTCTATGAGAAAGGAGGAAAGAAATCCAAGTTCTGCCCTTCCTCTGTGGCTCTCCGAATCAACGCCAAATGACTTCACGGTATGTATCATAACATGAACTATTATTTATCTTCCTTTACTCTTTAGACTCTATCGACAATGCCTGTTTTTGACGAAGTTGCATTGACTGCTGTTTCACTGGGTGTCTAAGTAATTTGGGAAAACCGATCTGGGATAATAGGGGTATCAACCTCGGTTTTTGTGCAGGAGTCTATTTTGAAACATAATGCATCTTCAGGGGTAAAATACTTACAGACGATGGTGGAATGCCTTGCAATGCTTGGAAAAATTCCAGCCGGAAGTTCCATAATCAGGTATGTTTTTAATGAGGACTAGAAAGGCAATTTTTGAAAGCGAATATTTGCAACTTGGTTACGTTTGCATTTGCCCTTCGACAGTTCAATCAGCACTTAGCAGACAAGTCTTGAAATTCAAATCGTGAGATCCGTTGATGTTTGGTCTGGGCTAGAAGTTCCTAGTAAATTTCCAATCTATTCTCTTTGTCGACTTACTCGTCGAGAATTTGTTGGGCAGTCAGAGGATTCGATCAACGCTTCATGAGCTCATTACGTCTGAAATAAAAGCACGGGCTGTTGCTATTGAAGCCTCTAGACCCCGCATCGATGAAGTTCAGAAGATTTTAGATTCCAGCGTTATGTGCAATTATCTCACATTAGTGCAAAAGAAAGGGAACGATGGAAGTTTTTCAATTGCGAATACTGAGCCTGTGGCCAAACTCCAAACTGCCGCTCAAGAACTCCTTGAGTCAGTTTTTGCGTTGGTGTTGCAAATTTTGGGTACTGATGCTTTCTTAACGAGTGATTTGAATTCAGTTGATGCTAGTTAATTTAGTCAGAGGAAAGTGGAACACTTTTAGTTTTCTTAGGTTTTTTGGGGTGATAATGAATATGGAATTTTCTATTTTAATCTGTGCACAATCATTAAAGGTTTACTCATTTTCCCCTCAATAGCATTCTGATATGTATATACTTATAGTCATTTCTGAAACATCTATCTATCTATAAATAAATGTATTCACAGCTCACAATGACTTAACAGAATGACTTTTGACTGTGATTGAGTGTAGAGAATTATGTTGTGGTGGGACAAATGATGGAAGCGAAAGCTCTGATGTCGAACGGTCAGCCAACTTGGAGCAACGATGTGGAGACAAATCGACCTGAAGGAAATTACAGCCTAGAGATTGTCTTGACAGTTATTCAGGTCTGAACCGATTAAATAATGTTGCACAAAGATCTCTCCTTCTCCAAATGAAAGATTTGCTAGTACATAATTTAGATGCCCCTGATAGTTTTTTTAGAGATTCAAGAAAATATACGTGGCTTTTAATTTCATGAGAGTCACTCTTGCATGCAGAGTGAAGTCTGGCTCCTGATATGTGATATCTTGCGAGCTACTCCGGATGCCGCATCAGCTGAATCTGCCGCACAAACTGCTCGGCTTGGAAGCAAGGCGGCTCCTGTCAATTTCAAGTATGACATGTTCACTCCAAAAACTAATCTTTACAATAATCTCCACCCTCTTCTCAATCATGACTTCGATGTCTGTTGTTAGTTATAAACGGAGTCCTACATACGGTATTCAATCACATCAAACATGTTTTGTTTGATGTGATCGTCAGGAATTCATTTGGAGTTCAAAATAAAGAGGCAGGGTACGCCAAAATTACTGTACCCCACCTTCTCCGGAGCTAAATTCATTCATTCATTCATGACTGAATAATATGACTAGTATCTCAATTCATTTATTATTAAGCTAATGATATTATGGGTCGTGAATGCAGTTATGGAGGATCTGAAGGAGGCCTATCGTTCGCCTTTCGCTTCTCTGACACTGTTCTAACACCACCTGGTTGGTGTCATTTTTGTATATAACTATTTCTGCTATGCGTTCTAAAATCATCAAGCTATTGGAAATTTCCAGAAAGTTTTGGTTCATCTTTCATTTGAAATCCAACTCTTTAGTTCATGTTTTTACACAAATTTTGGTCACCACTCTTGTAACCGTGCTTTTCTGTGTTTGTGAAGCTTGTTCTTGGACTTCATATTGTTTATCCACTAATTTAATAGAGAGCCCTTTCGTGAAGGGAGGACTGGACGGAAACTTGGAACCATTTTGCATTTGGCTGTTTTAGTCCCTTGAATCTAAACTTGGGAATGTACATGATGGAACTCATATCATCTGACGATCATCTGAATTCTATTCAGGTCAAAGCGAGCTTGTTAGCTGTGACAGTCGACATAGTCGCAATCGAAAGAGTATGCCTGCTCTTCAAAAAGGTTATGGTACTGGTGCAGTCCTCTCAGAGCGAGGAATCTATCTAACTTCTGCTATTTACCGCCCTATTCTCCAGGTACGTAATGCGATTATTCCGCTGAATAAGCCCCGAGGTGGTATAGTGTTGATTCATTCGTTGTTTGATTCAAAGCAATATTACACTTTTAAATTCGTCACTCCTGATTTTTTATTTCCAACATGAGCAAATCATTTCACCTTAATATTCTGTGTGTATATAAATTTTGGAGATCTTACGTCATAGATTCGAACACTTTGGGGTCCCATATTTTCTTCTTATAGTATCATTTCCATCTGTTTTCTGAACCGAAGTTTTGCCATTTTGTGTACAGTTTATAGACAAGATGACGTCACTGCTGCCTCCGAAATACTCTTTCTTGATGTGGGTGGCCGAATTCACGAAACTTGAGTGAAGCTCTTTTTCTATGATGAATTAGTCATTTATTTATCAAAAATTAGCCTTTCTACTTTGTGACGTCCTATACTTGGTGTCATTTAAGATCAAGTGTATGTGGTCAACTGCAACCTGCTTTTTGCAAACAGAAATGATGGGCTTCAGAACTTCATCGAAAATTTTGTGGAAAGCCAGTTTCTACCTATTGTGCATGTTGACTACCGGACTCGAGTTGCAGATGCTCTTGCTAGTAAGTTTACAAACGGGCATATGTAGACATCGATGCATCTGTATTTCTGCTCCAGAGGGTTCACTTGTTTATCCCGAATCCCCTTCTCGTATTTTGACTATCTTAACTTCACTCAGGTCCATCAGCATTTCGTTTGAAAGCTCATCCGGGGGCACTTTATGAAGCTACACTTGAGACGGGCAGACCTGTCTTACAAGGACCAATGGCCGCAAACCGTCTTGTCACTGAGGTATGTAAATGATCTTTCTCTATCCTGAAATGGTCGAACTGTTTTCATCGTTTGAGCAGAAGTGAAACCTGAATCTGCATGGAGATGGTTCATAATTAGGACGCTCTTAACGCTCTGATTGAAATTTGCCGTCTTTTCGATAAGATAGATTTTCCTACTTACCTTACAAGCATTAGGCTGTTTTTATCGAACAACATTTTCTTTTTTCAAATCATTTTGAAACGCCCCTGCTAAGACGTGCTTGAACTTGTGCTGAATGACCGGAGACATTTGCACTAATTCCCGATACAATGATTTGAAGTACTAAAATCGAGAGAAAGTATTAAATGGTGGTGAGTTGTTATTCCGAGATCGCATCAGGTGCTTGGATGGGCCCAAGCAATGCCCAAGTATGCTGGTGAAATACTGGAACTTGTCCAGACTCTTCTCGACCGTACCCTTGAACGCTGCCGTGCTGTGTATACCGAGGTGAGCACAGGTTGCAATTCACAAAGCCTGGATTGAAACTATTTGGCTTTTGGTTCAACAAATACAGTTTCATTCTCAGAGTTACGTCGGTCACTTATTTCCTTTGCTAATTGGAAGTATAGTTTGGTACTTTTGGCTATGTTTACCATGGATACTAAAGTGAACAGCTGCTGCAGGCGGTCCTAGGCAGCTTGAGTGCCACCGTCATTGGCCGTCCAGACGTAGATTATTTAATGAAACAAGAGCCTGCAAACCGACTTGTGGAGACAACTTATCGCAACCAACTAGGAATAGCTATGGCGGAGTATGATCCAATGGACATTATAGAAGCGTTAAAAGTGGAGATGGAGCTGAATAACATTCTCCTTAGCTTGCGACCAATCCAAAAGGTTTTTCATAAGATTTTTTGGACCACATTTTGACTTACAAGTTCGCTTTGGAATGGAACTAGTGGTTTGATGCAGTTATTATGAAGTCGTGTTTTTATTGGTTACGTTTACGTTCTTGGTCTTCGACAATCGGTGACTATGTATGATTTTCTTTAATAGATTCATAGGGTTGTTCCATCTGGCAGTTCTGATTATTCTGTGAAATTCGTGTGTGAACAGGAGCAACTTATCAATGACAACCATAAACTGATCCTTCTGGCTGCACTCAGCGACTCACTAGATTTTGTCTCGGAATCTGTGCAGCAGTAATTCTCATAACCCCATTCCGTTTTATGTGGCATCTTGTGATTTCTTTATTGAACCGCGATTCAAGTTGTATTTAGTTTCTGGTGTAACGTGATTTTGTTGAGGGCGGGGCGGGGGAGGTGTGGTGGGTAGACGATTAATTCGTAGAAGCCGTTGTAAATTACGCAAAGGCTGGAGAACTATTCCAGACTGTTCTTTTATTTACATAGTAGCAGGGCAATTCTAGATCGAAGCGAAGAGTGAACTGATACCGCTTTCCTGAAACATGGCTTGGCATAGATTGGGACAATACAAGAATGGGACGTCATCGCCTTCTCCTTCATTGACGAGAAGAAACTTGATACATCATCCACAGGTCCGCCATAGACGGACTAGTAGTGCTGTAACCGCGGGTCTAGGTATCTTAGCTGAAAAATACCGGCTGCTTTCCAATGAATGCCTCCGTACTTTAAGGGTTGAAATGCAGCTCGTCTCAACTTTTCATCTACAGGTATGCATCTAATGGATGAAAAACTTTTCTTTTGAATGACTAATGTTCCTCTTTAAATCTCCAAGTCAATTACAGGAGAGTTGGTTTCTGTGTAGATTACGACTTGTTTATACGTCCACAGTCCACAATAGGCGAGGTTTGGGAGTCCAAAGAAATAAAAAAAAATTACAAGGGACAAATTTATACTCATTTATTTTTTTCACTTGATAGTACTTCTTTGCACTACAAATACTTTTGAAATCGTCGATGCAACTGCAACAACGTTTGTTTTAAATTATCATGTGCCTCGCATGTGGATGTGGTGGCCAGGGTATGGCAGGGCGACATTATCTTAGAGACCAAGATGCGGAGGAGCCCGAAGACTTCGTTGTAGCTCTCACATCTCAGGTACTCTTATTTCCACTCATCATCCGCTGTAGAAACCTATCATGTGTAATCTGCTATAGTAACAAAAGGCAGGAGGATCTGCATCTATCTAGAGATCACTTCCATGATTTTAGTCACACCTATACATCAACATCAAATTTTCTCTTTTAACAACCCACTGCCTGGCTTGTATGCTCCTGATACATCGGGATTCGTTGGGCACACTTCAAGACTGCTTAAACTGAACTAAAAGGTGTATTCTTGGTCAATTGTTCGAACAGCTTGAATTAACTCGTTTTTAAGAAGTTCTTAGTTGTTGAGCAGAAGTTTCACCTGGTGCCGGATATTACTTTTTAAAATATTTTCCAACATTTTTGAATTGCATGGAACGCCTCCACGACTATGTTTTCATTCCGAGAGGAGCTGGAATTGTGCAACTTGGATGCTCGTCATTTTCTGCGCGAATTATTCTACAGTCTTTTTATAGTTTAAGAATGATCAGCTTGCTGATGAGCTCGTGCTGGACGTAGATACAAAGAATTGACGAGGAAATGGCCGCATACATGCCAACTTTGAAGAGGATCTACATCTTTGGAGGTGTATGTAGTGTGTCTGCAGCAGCTTTCATCAAGGTTTGCCTTTCTTTGCCTTCGCACACAAAGTACGGGGGAGCAGATTTAAAAAGTAAATACCTCTAATGAATTGTTGGAACTTCAGCTTGTTGAATCATTTAGGTTCGGAAATAGCCATTCAAAATTTGAGTACTTTGAGAACAATGATCAGGCTCACTGAAGTCTACCAAGCATTTATTTGATCACGTCATTCTGGTTGTTGTGCAGGCTGTGATGAACATCGAGGCCATCAATATGTTGGGTGTACGACAGGTCAATCGGAACTGCATTGCACTTCAGCAGGTTTGTTTAAGCATATATCATCTCACAGTAGCAACATATCTTGTAACACAGGTTTTTCAGAGAGCTTAGGTGTGATACATATGCTAAGGTGTCTGGTACAAGGATTTCCGCATTTATTGACACCTACACTTTTCGTTGGATACAATCTTTGCTTTTCCTCGTGAGTGCATTCGATGTGCATGGTGCTTCAGTGCATTTGATTCAGTCATTATGCTGTTTTTGGGAATCCAGGCACTTGCATCCCTAATAGCTAGCAGCGAAGAGTTTCTGGAAGAGAGATTGGACCGTGTTCGCACCTATTATGATCTTCTTACCATACCCTTTGAGGTGAGTGACTTACATGGGTCAGCGTCCTTTGTTTTACTCAAAAGATTGCACCGCAGATTTGAATTGTTCTGATAAAAATCAAACTTGGATAGAGAAGCTTTAACGTCTAATTTAACTGTACTGTGCTCATGCCCTAATGACTACACTGAGTGGTATATATTGTTCACATAAAGAACCTCGAAAGATAAATTTAATCGGATTCGTCCAAGACATTACTTCGAGTTATTGAGTATTTAAACTTCAACCTTCGTGTTAAATCATGGCCTTAACTCGGTTCTGTTATTGCAGGCGCTAATCGCACTGTTACCTGAGAATGACGCTATATTTAGCTTATCAGAGTGAGCATTTTTGTGCATCTTCTCCTTCCTCCTCTTAACTTGATCGTATATAAACAGAAGGAGGTTATTTTCGTCAATTTCTGATTATCATATCATTTTAGTAAGGGATAATTGCGTTGAGTTCAAAGTGACCACAGCAAATACTAAACATTGAACGTGATATAGGTACGCTGCCTTATTGGAGGTCAAAGTTCCAGGTAGGGCGATACCAGCAAACGCTGTACAACAGATCGCCAAGATACTTGTGCCCATGCGTTAGCAGTGTGGGATTAACCTTTCGGTGAAGCTTCGATTTCGGTTAAGAGGGATTCGTCGAAGACTGCTTTAAACCCTTTAAAGACATTACACGATGATATTTGTAATTAATGAGAATTCTAATGCAACTTCTTGTGTCGTCTCTTTTCTCCTTGCACATAAAAAAATTCCCAACATAATTATTCATTTGTAAGTGTTTCGTATGAGCAATAACTTTACTTGATACAGGAATCTGTGTCATACACAATGGTTTTAGATTAAGTTCAGATTTCAATGCGCTGAAAAGTGATACGACTGAAGTTCTGGAATTGGACATTCGACTCCAAACTAGCTTTTAGTACTGCTTATGATAATTTCAAACTAGCTTGTTGGTAATTGGAACCAGTAGCAGGTTATGATGTCTTAGTTTCTCTTCCCCATGAGCAAGTCCCACTGTGTGCAAGTGTTGGTTTACGTTCTAGTTACATGGTCATGTGCCTGGGCCTCAAAGCTACCCTCTCACGTGATAACATACTTCATGCATATCATTCATGTCTAATGATACTTCATAATAGGCACCTTCAAAACATTGTTTATCACTGTCATCAGCTTGAGACTAACACACTAGTCACAAAATTATCCAATACTTAAAGTGCAATATATAATACCTTAATTTTTTTTTGATTTATATGCTATATGTATACAACCTCAAGGCACAATATCTCAACTCTTTAGACTTTGTGTATAGGCCACATTTAGGGATATCTAAGTAGGAGGATGCTAGGGAGGAATTAATTTGGAGAAGCAGAATTGATCAATGACTGCACAACAAATAAAGGTGTTGACTCTCCTCAAAAGAGACCAAGGTAAAACGAAATATTTTACCAAATAATTGCAAAAGAAGGCTAATTGGCAGGTGGTGTAAGTTCAATACTAATCAAGAGGGTTGGAATTTTTAACTACAAAAAGGCTGTAAAGGGCAGTAAATGGACTTGCAATTTTGCAAAGGAGTTTGGCTTCTTTTGTTTTTTGGTTGTAAATTTTGTAATATTGATAAAAAAAAAAATAATTCTTCTATAATATGAAATTTTATATAATGAAAATAAAGTAGAAGATTTAAGTCAACTATCATAATATCCATTTATTATAAATGCAAGATATGTTTAACCAAAATTGGAATTTTTAACAAAATTTATTTTTATTGTTAACATTTGATCCTTGGTTTAAAAAAGATTTTAAGTAGTTTTCAGAATATGTTTGAAATTTTTTATACAAATTATAAGCTTCTATTAAAAAATACTCAATTTTTATAAATAATGATAGTTGGTTTTTGGAATATATTGAAGAAATCCCAATCAAATTTTAGTTGGTTGTAGGATTATGTAAATTTAAATATTATAAAAATAGTGTATTATATGAAGCAGTTATTGAAGTATTTGATGTTAGAGCTAAATTATTGTTTATAAATTATGTTATATTTGCATTGTAACCTTTGAAGAAGCAATTGGTAAAATAGCCATTTTGCTGCAAAATTTTCTATAATTTCTACTTGCATTATAAGTGTTAATTTATTTTTTCAGATTTTTGGTATTATAAATATTTCACACATTAAAATAGCAATTATACCTCTAAAAATTATTAAATATTACCACTATAAAAATAAAAATAAAACAAGCAAAAAAAAACAATCAATTGCTATCATTGTATGCAATTGTGTTGGAAAAATACTACACAAACATGTATGTTTTTATAATTTGACATAAAATAGAAAATTAATTTTGAATACTAAAATTTATAAATATATATATATATATGTATTTTATTAACAATAAATATATTCTTACTAGTACTATTCTTTTATTATATTTAATTACAAATAGATCATTCAAGTTCCTATAATCTTTAATAATCAATATTTTTATTTTTAATACTTAACATATATCTATGTAAGTTAAAATTAAATACTATATTGATATATTGAAGGAATATTTTTAAAGTCAAAAAGCTTTACATATTTAATAATATCTAAAAATAATAATATAGATGATATTTATTAAATAGATTTATATTGCATTCTTTACAATGTTCTATTGCAAGATTATTGCAATAAACTATAGAATGATTCAAATAATTTGATAATTATTTTAAACAATGACTACAAAAAAAATAGTGATTTATTTAATCTACTACAATAAGAAGTATATTCTAAAAAAAAGAGTTTATAAAACATATATATACTAAATTATATACTAAATTTATAATTATATACTAAATTTATAATTATATACTAAATTTATAATTATATACTAAATTATAAATTATTTAGTATTATAATATGCTTTTATATATTAAAATTTAGTATCTAATAAGAAATATTTCTTATTATTAAAAAATAAATTTAAAAATATAAGATAATAAAAGTTATTACATCAATTTTTTTTATTTAAATGACTATTATAGGATATAATACTCAATCTTAGGTTACAATGCTGTTTAAAGTTTGTTAATAATAATGAGTAATATAAAATATAAAATTAGAGATAAAAAGAAATAAAATCTAAATGTTGTAGTTATTTATGAACGACTATATATATTTAAAATATTTCATAGAAATTACTTTTTATTGCACTAATTTAAGTATTTTGTATATAAATGTAGATGTAAATATTAAATTTTTAAAAAAATATTCATAATTATTATTATATATTATTTTATTAATATCTATTAGAATTCTAACTTATTAAAAAATTATAAATTATAATTATAATTATAAATAATATGTGTATAAGATTTCTAAAAAATATTAAAAATATTAAAATAAAGTTTGTAAAAATTATAATAATATAATAAAATATATAAAATTTTAAAAATATTACATCAACCAACTTAAAATATTAATAATAAAAAAATGATATACATTTTACTTCAAATAAATAGAATTTAAGGTTGATATTTAGGACTAAAAATATAATAATTTCAATTTAAGATATTAAATTATTATTAGAAATTTAAAGTTATTATCTTTATTCTATTTTAAATCTAATGTAATTTATTTTTAAAGTTTATTTCGAATTATTTTTATCTTCTAATAAATAAAATATTTTATTTTTTTAATAAATTAAGATATATATATATATATATATATATATATATATATATATATATATATATATATATATTATGCACATAATCAATACTTATAATTACCTAAATAAGAAGAATTAAATAGAAGTAAATGAAAGTAGGTAAAATTTATAATATCTTATAGACAAGTTTCTTAAAAGATTCTTAGATACAAATTTGACTTTGTTTGTTTTTTTAGGTGATTGGTAGGTTGAAAAATTAGTTAACAAGTTTGCTATGTGTTGCACATGTTTGCAACTTATGGTACAAGTTGGCCATGTAGCATACATGAAGGAAACTTGTCTTACAAGTTAGATACGTCTTGGAGGTTCTATAGAATGTTAATATATAACTCTTAGTTAGATAGTATAAATAAATGTAATAGTGACGCCTTCTTTATTCTTGTCAATAATTTTTTTTATTCTTAATCTTATTTCAAGGATTTCCTATCTTCTTGTCTTTAGTAATAATCATTCTAATTTTAATTTATGTAAGCTTTGAGTGAATATCTATTTCTTTTTAAAAACATAAGAATACATTGATTCTTTGATTGCTTGTAATTTATGTCTTTGATAGTTTGAAATGAGTATTTTTATATTTTTTTTTTTTTTAGAAGTGATTGAATTATCTTACTTCTTTTATTGTATTTTAAAGATTACAAAATATCTATCTTTAAACTAATATTATTTATTTTCTAATATTGATTCTCTCTTTAAAGAGAATGAATTATCTTTTTTTGTGGAAATATTTATTTGATATTAGAAGTTAGAAATTATTCTCTTCCAATTTGAGTGATAGATTTGTTAAAGTAATTTATTATAGAAATATCAAGAAATATTTTGGATGCTATCATATATACTGTTAAATTCAAAACCTTGCTTAAAACATGAATTAGAATGATAAATTCTTTATCAATAAATTTTGATATATATTAAAAGATAATTTTAAGATTTTTTATAAATATTATTAAAAATAGAATCATTAAAATAATTTATTTTTGAAGCTATTGCATACAACAATTAACTATTTGAAAGATACCAAAAGCAAAGATTTGATTAAAAAAGAACAAATTAAGTCATAACAAAAATTTCTAAGTTTTCAAAGCTTATTCATTAAGGCTTGAACCTATGCAAATTGATATAATATATTTAAATTTCTTATTGAGCAAGAAAAGACTTGATATTTTTAAAAAAAGATTATATTTGTATTGTAGAGAATCTAACCACATTACTTATCATTCTCCAAAGAAGTAATATAATTATCAAATGAAGAGCATAGTTACCAAAGAAGATAATGTATTAAAAAACAAATTTTTCCACCTATAATAAGAACTTTGTGGCTAGAATTTTGTGCAATATCTACTATTAGCCACATTCTCTTCTCAAATCCCTTATCTTGCTTTATAATATAAATTTATTTTAAATCAAAAAAATTCAAAGTCTCTACTTTATAAGATTCTAGATCCTTTTTTTATAGAAAAAGACTTTGTTAAATAATAGAAAATTCTTTTAGTAAAGAAAATTAAGCATATACATGTAGAAATTATAAATGGTAATTTATTATTTGCTAAAGATATTACTCATGAAACTATTTCTTAAGATATAGCAACTAATGGTTATTACAGCTTAGTAATATTTAATGTTATTAAATCTCCCTCCAATCTAGTGATTTTGGATTTATTATGGCTAAAGAGGTATAATCTTCAATTAAATTAGATTTTTTTTAAATTAATTTTTATATAGCATAATATAGAATTTTGTTATTAAAGTAGAAAGTCATAAGTCTACTATGGTCTAATCTTTATTAGTAGGTGAAAGAATTTACATACATGTTGCAAAAAAATAATCATCTTTTGGCAATTATTCTACATTTATTTTTGATGGTAAAAAGATTTTAAGTGGAATTTTGAATCAAAACAAGGATTATCAAACTATTTATTAAAAAAAGAATGAAAATATTTTTTAAGAGCATTGTCTTAATAATTATTCAATTAATCCTAAAGAAAGACCTCAACCATCATTTGGACCAATTTATAACTTATTGTAAAACAAGTTGACAGCAATCAAAGAGAATATTA